TGCCGAACCATAAAGATATATATATATATATATATATATATATATATATATATAGTATATGTATATATATAATGCATATTATATATTAATATAAATAAAACTTTTAGACTACCACGATTCGATGTGCGTGTTTATATCGAATAGATAAAATTTTATAAGTGACAAACTAACTCACTGTATTTATAATATATAAAATATCTATTTTCCAGATAAATCATCTAAATTATGAGACGGATGCTACTTTGAAAGAATTACGCGAGAAACGCGGTTACTCGTATGAAGACGAAATAACATGCTCCAAAGAGTGTTTATCAAATTACGAAGAGAAGGTACGAAACATATTATCTCTATTTTAGATTCGCAATTATTATTATTCCTTATTATAATAAAACATCAAGATTTTTAATCGACGTCATACGTTTAACAGCATATTTCTTCAATACTTTTAATTATATTAATTAGAAAGTGCGAGCTATTCGAATATTAATCGTATCGATTCGGATGAGATTCGAGATTCGGCTCGATTCAATTTTGAATTTCTATGATTCAAATCTGAGCTATTAGAAAATTTCGAATCTAGATAGCTCGAAAACAAATCATATATATTGTTAATTTTATAAAATAATAAATATTTTCTATTAATAAGCAAAACAATGCGGTCATGTTAAACTGTTGCATTCAATGGGTGTGTATTTTAGTACTACAACCGCTCACTGAGCAGCTATTAAGTAGCAATAGAATGTAATTATATTTCCTACCTTAAAGCGAATTTATATTATATAATCAATATTATTTTTTTCATATTATAATGTTCTCTTATTCTACATGTTAGAATTCAATCTATAATAATAATTATACTGTTAAAAATTATATTTCAATTCGATTCGGATTCAAAAAGGGAAATAAAGTTCGATTCGATTCAACATTAAAAATTGTTAATTCGCACATCTCGTAATATTAATACCTTTCTGTCCGAATTTAATTCTTAGTTGAAAAACTTCTTCACCGAACATCTTCACACTGACGAGGAGATACGTCTGGTTCTGGATGGATCGGGCTACTTCGACGTGCGGGACAAGGATGATCAATGGATTCGAATTGAAGTGACGGCCGGCGACCTAATAATCATACCCAGTGGGATTTATCATCGCTTTACTCTGGACACTAACGTAAGTAACGTAAGAATATTTATAAATGTATTCTTCTCTTTTCGACTGATCTTTCGACACACATTGTTTATCTTTCTCCAAATCATTTTTTAAACACGTGAGGGAAAAGTTTTTCTCTTTTTTAAAAATAAATATGTGCTAAACAAGTCTCTAATTCAGAGTAAATTTAAGATAAATTTTGTGATTTCCAATTAATCCTAAATAGATCTCTAATTTTCGAGGAAACTCTTTTAGAATTATATAAAAGCAAAGAGATACTTTGTGGGAGAACCAGTTTGGCTGCCGTACAACAGACCGGCTGAAAACATGGACTGCCGCAAGCAGTACCTCAATCGACTGCAGAAAGGCTTTGAAGTACCTTTGGTTTAATAACCCCGTATTAACTATATACATAAGCTTCCATAAGAAAATATATTTTTTATATCTATCTTTCATTAAACTATTATACTTGAAGTTACCAATGTATATCATCATACTTGAATATTAAATATTGTATATATACAAGTGTATGTTATATAAGCATATGATAATCTGTGAATGAACAATATAAAGCAGCTATACGTACAATTTCTTTTTCAACATATGTCGATCTTGTAGATATATATTTTTAAATAAAACGAAAATCTATTTTAATTTTTCCATATTTCAATTTATGACTATATCCTTTTTTGTATTTTTTTATCTTTTAAATCCTCTTTTCGTTTTCAGAATCACTAACATTCAATCGTAATAAAAGAAGCTTTATTTAATTAGCTTTATTGCCACATAGTTATTGTTTACATACATGCAAAGACTTATCTATACGAATACTATTTTAAGTTGCAGTTTTAAGTTTTTAAGTACTCGAGACTCTGTATTTATGTGATTATTTATTCAAATTTATAGTATTTTTTTTCGATATGTCCAATCATTAGTAAGATTTTATAATGGAAGTGTACATGAGACAAAAGCTTTTATCATGCTCATATATTTTAACTTTCTGACAAGAAATGAATATTAATGTCTAACTCTTTAATTGAGTTGTTCAATTATAAAATAAATCTTAATCAAATCCAAAAAAAAACATTTCCGAAAGTGTCACAAATATCGCGCTTAGTCTCTATACAATAAATTAAAATTTGTTTCAATCAATAATACTCTGTACATTTTTAAGATCTTGACAAACACGGTTTGCTTCTCAAAAGCTTGTCAAACAATTTGACGGCATCATGGAAAAGTATTCTAATCACAGAACAACTTTTTAGAAGCATTATTTGTACAATAATTTTTTTTCTTCCTAAAGTTTTCTCATCAGTTGCAATAGGAATTAAATATAAAAAAATAACATTAAAAATTTCATAGATTAAAGCTATACTTTTTTGAAACATACTACTGGTAAAATAGCATTTCAAAAATTACGATTGTAACTGAAAATATGCAAAAATGCGTGTATAATACCCTTTTTGTTGATGCCGTCAACTTATATATATTCTATAAACACTATACAAACATTTCCTCTCGCGAATATTTGTCAAAGATTTTTTCTCAAAACTTTATCGTTATATATAAAATTATTTCAAAGTCACGGAAAATTATTGATGTGTCCTTCTTTTTCTCCATCGTGGAGCGTATGCAATATTTTTTGTTTGTTTTATATTTGTATATTTAAACCTTTTGTATTAAAAATTTGCACCAAACACCACACTTGACATGCTGCTCTTCTTTTGAGAACCTTCTTCCGCGACACCAAATTTCTTGTATTCGCCCACTTTCTTCTCAAAGAAATTTGTCTTCCCCTCCAGAGAGATGAAATTCATAAACGAGAACGGATTCTCCGAATGGTAAACCTAAAATTATCACAATATTCTATATCTCTTAATAAGTAAAATTTAAATAAAATCTAAAACTTTCTCACATTATTAGTATCAATTATGTAAAATAAAAGCGTGATAAATATAAAAATGACGACAAAAATAATAAATAAGCTTTTTTATACATTACTTTTTCAAATCCTAATGCAACGAACAATCTGTCCGCGACGAATTCGATGTAGTTACACATAAGTGTGCAATTCATTCCTATCAGTTCGACCGGCAACGCCTGAGTCAAAAATTCTTTTTCGATTTCGACGGCGTCCATTATGATCGACTTCACACGCTCGAACGACGGCTTTTGTACGATGTGTTTAAACATTAAGCACGCGAAATCGCAGTGCAATCCCTAAATGTAAACAATAAAAATAAAATAATGAGTATAAACATGATGTAATAAAGAAAACACAGAAAGAAATATATATTAACTTATGTTAGATAAAAATTATCTACTTATTAAATAAATTAAATAACTTGTGTGTAAATAGATGTAAATAAAATTAATTTACTGACCTCGTCTCGCGAGATGAGTTCGTTGCTAAAGGTGAGCCCTGGCATGACTCCTCGTTTCTTCAGCCAGAAAATCGCTGCAAAACTGCCGCTGAAGAAGATACCCTCAACTGCCGCGAACGCAACTACACGTTCAGGAAACGTAGCACCATCCTGATTGATCCAGTTCAATGCCCAATTGGCCTTCTTTCCCACACAAGGAAGTGTTTCGATTGCATTAAATAAGAAATCTCTGGAAATAAGATTAATCAATATAGTTTCTGTAATTAAAGTAATTAATATCTAACAATTAAAATATAAATGCAATATAAATAAAAAAGTAATATTTAATTTATGTACAATTTAAAAGTATATATAAAAAAATTGTAATATCTACTATATATTTGTGAGTATGCAAATATATGCCAATTCCACTTACTTTTCTTTCGGATCAGAAATATAAGTTTCAATGAGCAAAGAATACATTTCAGAATGAATATTTTCTATAGCGATTTGGAAGCCGTAGAAACAACGTGCTTCGGCGATTTTCACTTCCTGACTAAATCTCTCAATCAGATTCTCATTAACGATACCATCGGAAGCGGCGAAGAATGCCAAAACATGAGAGATAAAATGTTTCTCGTCGGAACTTAGCTTTTCATCCCAGTCCTTCTTGTCTACCTGTAAAAATTACAAGAATTCATTGTTATCATTGAATATGAAATATTTATTAATTCTATTTTGCATATTTTCTACTTAAAACTTTTTTAATTACTAAACTGTTAAATGTGTTAAGTTTTCAAGCTGTATATTTTTATATCTTTAGAAAAATATATTATAACTTTAAAAGTTTACCTTGTGAAGAGCTACTTCTTCTATGGTCCAAAAGGAGGCTACAGCCTTTTTGTACATATCCCAGATATCAGGATATTGAATAGGGAAAATTACAAAGCGGTTTGAGCCTTCCTGAAGCAGTGGCTCTAATTCTGGATTGAAGTCCTCCTTGAGTTGTACCTTTCGTACAGCATTTGTTTTGGTAAGCTGCAAATTTATTGTTTTTACTAAATATCGTAATCAATGAAATTTTAATAAAATAAAATAAAATATATAAAAAATATATAAAGAAATTAAATATATCAAGCACAAAATTGGTATATGAGTAAATAGGCTATACCTACCCCAGTTTTCAAGCCATGATCCTGAGAAATAGTTGGAGAAATGCATGATTTCTTTGGTGATGTCTGTAAGAAAAAAAACTGTTAATTTAAACTAACATTGTAAATACATAAATTACATCATCAGGAATCACACAATTCGATGAATTACTTTGTCAGTTCAATTGTCAATGTATTCTAAACTAATATGCAGTGTTATATAAATTATAATAATTTAAGAAACTTCCGCAATTGCATTAAACGCATTACTCATTTAAAATAAATCCATATAAGTATAGAGAATAGGATTGCATAATCTTGTGCAAAAAATAACAAACATTTCTGAGCGTCACCTTGGTGTAAAATATTCTTAATATAATAACAGATGACAAAATAATAAATAGAATTCTAAAATATTTTGCACCGAGAAATATCTAGAATTAAATACACTCAATTTATTTAGAACTCGATATCGTGCGGATTTTAAATTGTGCAATTTGTTAAACTAATGAATTGAAGTATCCAAATTTATTTTAATCGGGAGAAAATCTGAGAAGGCAAATTTGTCATATATAGTTGTTCCTTTATACACAAATGTTAACATACTTCTTACAAATGTTAATATACTTCTTGCAAAAATATTCATAACCTAGAGGAGTATCAAGAGTAGGTGGAGGAATTTTGCCAGTGAGAATAATGCAGAGAAATTATTTACCTCTTCATTCATCTTAGGTTACCGACGACGATAACAACGAGTACAAAATCGCGAATATTATATTTAATGATAAAACATTCTGATGAAAAACACTGGACATTCTAAGCTCTATATTGAACACACACAGATATATATGCGCAGCTGCTCCATACATATATAGTTAATACAGTGTAGTACACACAAGCCGTTTAAAATGCACGCGTCAGCGCGTGAGACATGCCTCGACCAAGCCTTTTAACGTTATCGCTACTGTCGTTAATGATCTTTGTGTTTCGAAACGCGCGCTTCCCATCGCGTTAACGAGTTTTCCAAACTGCGTGCTCTCCATCGCGTTAATCCGTTAATGAATGGCGGAGAATTTATACGTTTTCGCGCAGAGACACGTGTCCGGTACATAACTGGTCGTCGGAAAACAGATCGAAGAGTCGACTCCGAAGTCCGAATGCGACGAACATATATATATAGAAGGAGGGATTCATAGGACAGGACCCTCTTGTTGGAATTACGCAATTCTATTTGTGGAAGCGGCGCACCTAAAACGTGGACACGTTAGAATTTTCCTATGGCGATCCGGGCAACACGCATGCCCCAAATCGGGACATATAATGTCTTAAAAACGTCTTATGATGTGACGTTTTTACGACATATCATATGTCCCGTTTGGGAAATTATGTTCACGAGGGAGTTATAAATTAATCTTCAGTTCCCTGGACATTTTCTTTAAGAAGAAACTTACTCCGAATTGGTCAGTGTTATTAAAACGAGTTCTAAATGGAACATCCCGTATATATCTCTGTAGACATCAATATTTTTTTTTTCTTCAATTATCGCCAGAAATTTCATTCATCTACCGCATGCTCGTTTCCTTTCAAACGCAGCCGTTTCTTGCTGTTTCGCGTGTGGGCCGTGGGCGTAGGGAACGGAGGGACGACCGATCCCGCAACTCAACGGATTTTTCCACTCGCGCTGTTTAGTGATAACACCGATAACGAAGACACGCGCGGCATGATCGCTAACGAAACGTTCAATCTGCAAGAATATAGAGACAGAAGATGCGGTACGACGGAGACGGTTAATTGTACGTGGGCCCGGCGGGAACGAGGAAGGAGAAAACAGCGGACTCACGTGCAACGACACGTCCTCGAGGTGCTTGCGAACGTTTTCCTTTGTGGATTCGTGCAACGCCATCGTTATTCTCGATTTTTCCAGCTGGACTCGGCGATCAGGAACACAACGGCGAGGGTGAGAGCGACGGCGACGGCGACGACGGACGACAATGGGTGACAAGTGATGCCGGGAACCGTTCCAACGAACGGAGCAGGAAACACTGGGCTGACTGGGCACTGGCACCAGCGAGACGATTATTATCTCGATCGCGTGTTGATTGGCCTCCCGTGCCAGAGTTTCGCGTCCAAACTGCCGTCCGCCAATCAGCTGATCGGGCCTTGCCGCCAAATTTTGCGAGCTCTCGCGTCTTTCGTTCTCTCTTCCCTTTTCGCGCGTCCCTCGGCCGGAAATATTCCGAGATGAATTTCTCACGGTCGCGAAGGACGATTCGCCGACGAGAATCTCTCCCGCGACGCTCGGCGATGTCGGTGGTTTTCCCGCGCGTTTTGACGAGACTGCGCGATGAGCGCGTCGCGGATAAATCGTCATCGAGAAGGGACAACTATTACTACGTTTACGCGAGCGTTATTTCTGTAGTAACTATTACGATAATTCACTCGTTTACGCGGAGTAAATTATCGTAAGTTATTATAAAATCCCGTTTACGCGAAGGAATTATCGTAAGTTACTACAGAAGTAAAACGCTCGCATAAACGTGTAGTATATATGATAATTAAGTTACAATTACTACGTTTACGCGAGCGTTACTTCTGTAATAAGTTACGATAATTCACTCGTTTACGTGTAATAAATTATCGTAAGTTACTACAAAATCCCGTTTACGCGAACGAATTATCGCATGTTACTACAGAAGTAACGCTCGCGTAAACGTATATAGTAAATGGGCGCGTTCAGCAGACACAATTGTTGAGTTCGTCTTATCAACACTCTGCCTTGATTGGTTGGTTCTAAAAGTAAAAGCCAATCACGTTCGATTGTTGCTGAGCGGCTTGGTCTGCTGAACGCTGAACCAATGTGTATGAATCATTTGAAGGAATATTTAGCACAACTGACTACAATTAGCCGTTTTTGTATCATTTGTTATATCAATATGCTACTTATAGTTAATCGCCAATTACGATCACTACGAGCGGAGCTGACTTTATCGCTTTTAAAATAAACCTAATAAAGCTTGGTCTTGGCAGCTGAACTCTTTTCGCCCTTCCTTTCTCTCCCTTCGATTAATTATGGATTTGTCTTGTTTTAAGAAAGCACAGCATAGCGTGGCTACACGTAAAACGGACTTATTTGGACAAGTCGCAGCTGCTCGTGAAAACAAGTTTCGCGGACGATGACTCGCGTTTTCACATACCGGCGAGTTCCAAAACTCGTCGAAATGAGTTTCAATCGCCGTCCGCTTCACTTGGCGCGAGGCCAACGCGGAATTCGAATTGCGGCCTTCTTCTCCCCTTATCTCTTATTTTAAAGAGAAAATACGTTCAAGATGAACAGAACCAAGCTTTACGTAAGTAACGTACAAAAATAGGGATCAGCTCGGCAATTCATCACCGATTCATTATTATGACTATATTAATCGACAAATTTGAATTAAATATCCTTATTGATGGATTAACGCTACATCTGCATGCTACATGATGCTACAGTTGCAACACCTATTCTTCCTATTTTTTCCGTTAGCTGCAAAAAGCGAAGACATCGGGTGATCATTGCAATAAACCATATTTATTTGGATAATAATTAGAATAAGTAAATACAATAAAGAACGCTTTTAGCAGGCCAATTTCCCGACAATGCTCATGAACTCTATGTATGTCTTCTTTTGTCTGAAAGGGATGCATTTCAAGATATACGCGCACCATTAAAAAGTCTCGACAACAATCGATCAATATTAAGGAAATAACGATCTTCCAGTAAATGCGTATTTGCATCGTTAAAACAATTAAAAGTATTGCGAATATACTGTACATAGATAAATCACGCTAAACTCTTAGGAACGGTTAAAATTTCTTTCTTTCTTTTTTTTCCTCCTTTTTCATCATTGGCGTGTAAACGGCATTGTTTAATTATGTCACTCTCGTCAGTCTAAAACAACGAAAATCCTATATCTATTTGCGTATAACTTGAGATTGCATTTGCACGATTCTGTTCGAGAGGAAAATGATTATCCATCCCGGATATTACGGCTCGGACAGTGTTTCTTGTCATCCGTCGCGCTTGTGTGTATGCGTATATGTGTATTGGATGTACGGTACGTGTATACGGTGTATGTGTGTGCTTTAAATGGCATCGATATCGAAATCATCTTCGGAATCATTGTTCACGGCGGCAGCGACTGCGGTGGCGGCGGCAGGCTTCGGCGTGGTCGGCGGTTGCTGTTGTTTCAGGGATTCCTGCTTGGCTCTATCGTCGTATTCGATCTAAAATGGAAAATTTGAAACCAGACAAAGTTAAAAAAAAAAAGTATATCGAAATAGTTTAAGGGTGTGAATAATGCAGAGGAAAGAAGCTTAAATTCAATGGATTACTTTGAAAGAAACAAGAAAGTTTAATCTTTCAAGTCGAGTCATTTTTAATTTACTTATCCCCCCCCCCCAAACAAATAAATAAGTAAAACAAAAAAGCTTTTTTTATATATTTAATTAATAATTAAATAGAAGAATTAAAAAATAATTTAAAAATTGAATTAAATTAGCATCTCTCTTAGAAGCACAATGAGATTACCTGCACATCGTCATCTTCTTCCTCGGATTCAGACTCCTCTTCCTCTGCAACTTTCAACCATGTTAAAAATGGTGCAGCTCGATCGTGAATCTCTTGCGACAGGTCCTTTGAGACGTATTTCTTGCTAACTTTGCTCGACCACTCGTCAAATGCTTTCTCTTCCAAGATATCAGCGTCGTAAAACAACTAGGAATGCATGCAAATATTTTAAATTATTTACTAAGTCAATGGCGATAGCTAAGAATTACGACATATATTAATACTTTCTCACTGAATGCCCTAACAAACTTTTCAAAATATTTCCTAAAATTAATTCCAAAAAATTCCCAAAAAATTAATTTGTTTACCTTGAGGATTCCGGGAACCTTCGGCATCAACGCCTCCTTATGCAATGCGATCACCTGCTCGATTCCTCTGATCAAATATTTCTGCGCCTTAATGTCGTCGTGAGTGAAGCGCAGCAGCAATACTCGATATTTCTTCGCCTGCGCGGCGATTCCCTGATCGAACAGCAACTCGGCAAGGATCAACGGCGCCTTGGTCTTAATCTCGAGACGTTCCGCCTCGGTCACGAGCTCCTTATGATTGTTGTCCAGCTGGCCGGCATCGCGACGGCATTTAACCAGTTTGTAGAACATGTCCATGCGCTCCTTTTCGCTCTTCTCAAGATCATCGCTGATAGTCATACCTTTCGCACCATCCGTCAGGTCTTGGAGACGAGCTCTAACCGCCTCCTCGGACACATCCACCGCCCATTTAAGGTCATCTCCGTCGTCGTTGATCGTTCTTACTGGCGGTGGTTCTACCACAATGTCTGTAGAATTGTTGACGTCATTTTCCGGAGAACCGGATCGATCGTTGCCGTTAGTGGTGGCCGTGGTGGTGGTGATTGTACCCCCGGCGTCGCCATTGGCGCGTTTCGAGCGTTTGCCACGTTTACCCTCCGTCAAAGAGCTACCCTGCACTGCTGGATTCAAGCTCGGCGGATTTTTCAAGATGTACGTGTTCAACTTATGATTACTCTCAAGAAGGCCATGATGTCCGCATGCTTTACAACCCTGCGAGATCGTGCCCTTCTTCGAACTAACCATCAGTTCGGTTTCCGGGTTGTCGCAGGCTGGGCAAAGAACATATTTTCGGATGAAACCGTCCAGCAGGTCTTGCAGCTTCGTCGCGTCGTGCGAGCCGTTGACGATAAAACGCTCGTTTTTGAAGTCAAATTGCGTCTGCGCGCCCAACTCGCAACCGAAGTACTTGGTCGGATACGTAGCCGGACGACCGATCGCCTTCGCCACATCCACCATATTGACGATCACTGTCTTAATACCGTTTCCCTTGCCTTCCACCTTCGCCTGGATTCGCGGCATCTTATAGCGATAAAAAGCATCGCTGACATTGCGATTGACGTTCACGCTCGCCATGGTGACCGATGTTTCCGCCTTCTCTTGCTCTTAACAAACTTAACTTCTCCGATCGACAAGGATCTCTGACGAGACGTCGTTGTGAAAATATTAACAAATCACGACAAAAAGATCGACGCTTGAGCAGCTCGTGAGATGACGTTGGCTCTGTTCCTTCTTTCTCCTCTTTCTCAGGTGGGTAACGTCTTCGTCCTGTTTCTTCTAGATCTCCTCTGTCGCACGTTTCCAGCCAGCGGCAGCTTGGTAGCCGGCAATAGCCAGTAGCAGGCAATGGATGCTACCTGCTCGTGGTAGCTCGTAGCAGCGTGTCGAGTCAGGGTGGTTCTTCCTCTTCTCAGGATTGTAGTCCTTATTAGCAGTAAGGCGTGCCGCGCCGCTACCCGCTAACGCCAGTCACGTTTCCCTGAATGGCTGTAGCTTCCGATGCCTATTACTGTAAAGAGGAAGAAACTCGCCTTTAATATTGCAATAACTCAAACTGCCATTAATCTTTAACCTGAATCGCTAATTGAATTAAAAGAATTGTTACGCATTTTGTAGCAAGACTTGTAGATTTAAAATATATTTTAATAAATATAATTCTTTTTCAATGTCTTCAAGTTATTCTTAGAATTTCAGATTTGAGCAGTAATAACAATAATTCTTTTAAACACATTATCAATTTTCTCAACAAAATTTAAAATAAAAAAATTGACACTAACCAGACTGACTCACAAACCTGGAAAATTTTGAGGTCCTGTGCTTAGGCAGGACCAGGTGGAGGTTTAGGAATCGTTGGGTGGTATCTTGATGCCTCGGGTGTTGCCTCGGTTTGGCGGTGGCGGGTGGGGTAGGGGGGTAGTCCTCAATGATCATACACGCTGCCTGTCCGTCGCTGGTCGCCGTAAGAAAGCCTGGCAATCGGTGGTACCAGGTTGGTGATGATGTCGACGTTAACTCGGCGGTTAACTCGTCGCACGAAAACGAACGGTCGTGGGTGGTGATGGTGTTGCCGTTTGATGATCGCCAGTCGGATAATAGTGTTCTACTGTCACCGCCGCCTTTGCTACACGCCGATCCTTTCCCTCTGGATGATATCCTGGATGTTTCTGCAAGAAAGAAGAACAAAAACAATCTTGGAACTGTCCTAATCCAGTTTAGTCACTTTCGATTTTTTGTTAGATTATAATTTTTGTAACTTTATTTTTTTTTACATTATCCCGTTGCTAAAATAAATTGAAGATATTATTTTTATATATTTAAAGAAAATCAAAGGAAATTAGTAGAAATCTGATCTCAAATTTGGAGAATTGAAACTAATTAAAAGAACTTATCTGGAATGTTATTTTAAATTTATTTTACCGTATAAGGAAATTTCATTATATTGTATATTAAATTTTAGAGAGAAAAATAGAACTTTAATTTAAGAAATCATTTAGAGTTGGAAACCGAAACATTTGTATTTGCTTAGAATAGTTTGTGCAACTCTATCTGCCCAACTTTAATTAAGATAATATATTATTCTTATTCTTATTGTTTTTTTTTTCCTTTAACCTCGATCTTATCGGAATCATTTTAATTGTAGGATTGAAGATCCTGGACGCGAAGGAATCAAGGAATCCGAGGGCGAATCTTGCGGACTGCTCTTATCCATGCGAGTTAGTGGTCTGCTAAAAGCGTTCACGAGAGATGCAAAACCATGAGAATGAAATTCAGAATAATTTTCAGACGGATGGACGATCATGGGACCGGTGTGCGTTTCATCTGGCTATGATGCTAACGATCATTCGGATGATTTTCGTGCGGGACGAGCCGTATTAGGAACATGATAGCGATGACCGCTAAGTCGGACTGAACGAAGTTGCGAAAACGAGATTGCGACGGACAAATTTCATCTCTCTCGATAATCGAACAAATGCAGTCGCAATAAATGAAGATTCACTCGAGATATGATTGCACCGAAGTGTATATACCTTATAATAAATTAAGGGGTAAGCTGATGTCTCGGACACAAAACATGTTTGCGATATAACTCGATTTCTCCGGATTTATTCGAATGTGATTTATTCGCTCGATCAATTCCGCTTGTGTTTTCTAAATGACAATATTCGCTACAACAATACGATTAATATTTCCTAGTAATAAATTGTTCACAGGCACGCCTCGTGAGCGAAGAACTGTTTTTTTATTCGCGCACAATCACTCCGCGAGACCGATCGAAAGTTTGTATACGGGGGAGTTACGGGTTGTCACAAGCAATTAAGTTAACGTCTTGTAATAGTGTAAGGAACGGCACTTCTCGAGGGACATCCTCTATTGATTTAGCATCCGAGATATCTGAGAGCGCGATTCGCACAAGGACTCTCGTGTTTCAGTCGTACAGTATGCAAGTGGTGTGTAATTCTGCACCCGATTGCAGCCGGTGCCTGTTGTTTACAATAACTGTGCGATATTAATATTGATCCTTACGCTCCATTTACCGGGCTATAAGCGTCGCATTCGCGGCTACTGTTAAGACACCTCAAGGCGTTTCAAGACGTAGCGGCAAGACTCTTAAGATTCTAAATTATACATGGGTTTTTTTTTTAAGCAAAGGCAGCACGTATTCGCGAAGATGGACCGCGAGAATTGATTGGGATGATAAATCGAATATATTGGCCCCTCGCAATTTGACAACATCGTTGTCGGAACAAAACGTGTCAAAGTGTGACGTGTCAAAACGTGTCAAATATTTCGATACTCGGGTTCACGCATGGAGCCGCAGAACTGTCACTTTCCCCGTCGTTCCCCAGCGACGGAATTTACGCAGCAATAGTAAATCTCGGTTAACCCAATCGCGAGGTGCTGACCGTTCCGGGGAATACCCTGAACACCCTCGTGGAAGTGCGTGCACCGGAAACGGGAGAGTTACCTGCTCGGTACAGACGCATAAGTCGTGATTTGCGACGGTGACGCGGCTGCTGTCGTTGATCGGCAGGTGTATCCAGACTTCCTTCCTCTTCTCCAACGGCACCCTCGCGAGCGGAGAGATACGTCGAAGAAGGACGAGGCTCGGAGACGGAGAAAGAGAGAGAAAGAGTGGAAAAAAGTGGAGCAGGTTTGTCGCGTCGCCGAGAGAGAATCGATTCTCGCGCAGGGGGTAGTTCGCGAGAGAGAGCGTGTGTGTGTGAGAGAGAGAAAGAGAGCTGAGAAGGTCGGCCTCTCGCTAGCGCAACTAGAGTGGTTACTCGTCTCTTCGTAGTCTGACGACTCTCGGGACCCCGGAGGTCGGCCTACCCCGCGGCGCGCACGCGTCCTTTCGCCGCCACCGTGTATATTGATCCGGACGCCGACGACGCCGATCCGGACGCCGACGACGCCTCTTCTAAGGAGAGAGCAGCCTTCGGGCAAGGTCACACTACTCTACTCTCAAGTGGCTAACTGATTCGCAATCGAGGCCTCTTCTTTAACAAATTGTGGAATTTACATTTGTGTGTGTGTGTGGATGCGTGAAATTAAATTAATCCCGGGGAGAAAAATATTAAATTAACGTCGAGATAAAATTTCCTAGCAGTTGATCGAGTCCCTGGTCGACGACTTGCGAATAGCGCGAAAGATTCTAGGAAAAAACTCGGTGAGATAGGTCGGGGTGGATTGACCCAGGTCCAGGTCGCGTCATGGGTTGAGCGTGACTCTCTGTCCGGCTGTGTTTAACTAATCAGTGTTTGATAAATCGGGCGTTGGATTAAATTAAGTAATAAACGTGCCTGTATAGAAGCGGTAAATAATATAATTTGACCAATGATTTAATAATCTCATTTTTAATAAGTAATATAACGTTGATAAATTTTTGAGAATATTTTTGCCATTTCTATAATTCTTAAATACTAAACAGATTTTTTTTACAAGATATAAAGGTTTAATTAATGCAAATCCGTCCGAATTGGCAAATCCTAAGACCAGCGCCTCAACATTTACACATTTATATACTTTTTCAATCAACGAGTCTCAACCAACATTTGAATACCTCGAAAGAAAACTTGTTATTCGTCATCGCAAAAAAAAAAAAATTATGTGCTCGTTAAATGTAAAGCCGACAATTTATAGATTCTCGCGGTCGGTCTTAACAACATAGACAACTCCGTTTGGGAGTTCTCCGTCCGGGAGCGCGACGTTCTCGATGCGGCCGTAATTATCGGCCCGGCGATCCTCGATAAATACTTTCCTCCCGGCGAAACTCGTTCTGGCACGCTTGCCTCTGCTCGCGATTCGGATTCGGAGAAAGTGAGGGCAAGCGATATGCTGGAACTCGTAACATTACTTCATCGCTGTGGCCAAAACGCGCGCGTATACACGCGCACGTTCTAACATAAGAAGAAGACGGAGTTTCGGGCGCAAAGGCATTCGCGGATCAAGAATGTTTTGTCTGACAATGAGCGAGATAAATTGGATTGGAGAATTATCCTACGTGAGGAGGGATCGCGTTACGAAAATTCCACGAGTCGCACAAAGACGACGCTTGAGAACCGCTGCCGTCTGATAAAGCACAATATTATTTTGCATCGTTATCGAGAACCGTGCGCCGTGTACATGCTTAAGGGTCAAAGTAGCAGGCCATCTTGGCCAGATAAACGTAAAAAAAACACACTCGCCAGTCACGCACGGACAAAGGAAGAAGATTTAGAATTAATCCTGTCTGACGCAATTGTCTTTAAATGTTTCGACAACGTCCAAATCGGACGTTCTCCAGAATGTCGCGAAAATAAACAATAATGAAACTTCTAATTCCTACTTATTATTGTGGTTACTCGTAATTTTTTCGAATTATTCGAATTCTTACGAAGCTTCAATTCTTAACTATTTTTGCATTTGATCGATCTTATCGAGTCGAGATTTTCATTATCTATATACGATTTTATATCTTCTGTACACACGTAAGAAATACGAACAGTACCTGATAACATCAATACCTTTTTCCGAAGCAAACTTTTCGAAATTCCACGGACTCTCAAACTACACAGACTGGCGCCCGACGCTTGCGTGCGCTCGAGGAAGTTCGTATTGTCGATAGGAATGTATTTACAAACATGAGCCAAGCCAGTTATTGCTGATCGTGACGAAGTTGAACAACACGGACTAGAAAATCGCGCCGAAAGAATGTTATTATCTTACGAGGTTTCTTTTATCGACGTATTTGCGAGTAATAGATCTACAGCTATATAATCTAATCGCAGCAAGTACTGGATGTCTCCGAACTAACGTTACTATCGGAAACCGTATACTGGAAATATAAATATATACTAAGGAAAAATAGCGAGATACAGCTGGAGATTGAGTTTTGCAAAATTGGAATTTTTATGCCGATATTCGGCTGAAAATTCAAGGGGATTCGTTGAAGATCAATCCCGGATTTATGAAATTTGAAAATTTTCGATCGGTCGGTACCATCTCGCTATCGACGTTAGCAAAGTAATAATATGCTGGGATTAATTATACATTCGTTGTAACATTAGCATTGATATATAATTCGTAATCGCTATTGAACTCTCGGAATAGTTATTAGATGACACAGCAATCGGCAATTCGCATGCAAACGTCACGCGAGAGGCGTCCGCTCGTTCCTTTCTTTTTTTTTCAAGTTCAACGTTTCGAATGTATTCGCCCCAGGTTTTACAAAAGAAGGTATTTTCTCTTTCTCTTTTGTGTAATATTATAAAATAATAAATAAATACACAGGATGTACAAATGTCAGAAGGAACATTGCGTTCCGTTCTCCAACCTTTATCCTTATACGGCAGTTACAGCGAGAAGTTAATTCTGCGCGTCATTTAATTATCTTTAGAGTATGCACCATTTCCCAACTGAAATCACGGGAATTACGAAAATGTGTAATTAATGGCGACAAAGGGGACAAAGCAAATTCAGCAGGCTTCTCGAAAGCCTTCTTAATCCTCTTAAAACAAACGTCGTTTGACCACAGACCTAGAAAACGTACAAAATAATATATTCCATCATGAATACGTAAATTTCACGTATAAATTAGAAACAAAGAGCGATTATATTAGAAACTTGATAATTCCTAATTTCATTTCTAATACTGTAAATGGCTTACCATTTTATTCAATGCTTCGAGAGAAATACGTAATATACAGAAACAATTATTTGTAATAAATGGACGACATTCAGTAACAAAGTTTCAAGTACAGCATATAGCCAGCTATATTGTTACATAGCTGGTTATATGCCGTACTTAAAAACTTTCCCTCACAATTGCCTACAAAATGTCACAAATAGGCCTGTTCTTTTTAGCTGAACTTCTTATATACGGTTTATCTTTTCTCTTTTTCTCTCCAATGTGAAAAGACAAAGAAAAAAGATGAACCGTGCAAAAGAAGTTCAACTAAAAAGAACAGGCCCTACGTCAATGCTGGCTATCAAATCCTGCTCGTCAAATGCTAGCAGTTCCCGCTCGTAGAACGAATTGCTCGTTCTCTCGTTACAAAAGAAATAAATGCCTTATTACGGTCACGTATACGCATCAGAATACAGATGTGATAGGCCAGTTGGAGAGGTGCTTGCTAAAATAGATCCGCTTGTTTCCACTGCGCTTCCTACGCTTCGCTCCTTTCCTCCCTTCTGTACACATGTCCCATTCTCGATACAGAGGGTACAAGAGCTCACCAAGTTGTACGAAACGTTTAAGGTAAAAAATATACGTTCAAGGCGAAACAAAGAAGCCCGTTTGCTCAGTCGCCCTCGTTCCCCTGTCCTCTTCCACCTACAGAAAAGCCTGGAACGGTCCTCTCCGTGTCGTCTTCGAATTTTCTCCATGTCCACGGAATTTTCAAGCGTGACGCGCGCTTACGTTACGCACGCCTATTTTTGCGTCAGGTCTAGGAGTAAAAGAGCGCAGCTGAAAATAGCAGGTGAAAATAGCGAAAAGCGCGGACCCAAGGGTCCGGCGGTGCTGGGTCAGGAGACCGGCTTTTAGAGAAGCTCCATTTCCTCCGCCGACGATGACGCGCCGTGCGACACGCACGCACGCGAGTCGTCATTGCGAACGGAGGGAGAGGGAGAGGGACACACGCTCATTTCCGCAGGAGAGCGAGGGGTCCCGTGGTTCTCGCTCGCTCGTTCGCACGCACTCACGCACGCACGCACGCACGCATGCACGTCCCGTGTCCCGTCGTGCCGTGTCCAAAATGGCTGGTCGCTAAAATTAGCGAGCGAGCGACGTGGGTAGAAAGAGGTTATGGCATCGGAAGAGAGAAAAAAAAATTAATTGGCAATTCAATCGACGCGATTGACGTTGAATGGACGTCGATTGGACCGCCGTCGTCACGTCGGTCCGCATCTCGGACCGTTAAAAATTCGAGAAATGATACCGTGATGTATACGGGAGAAACTTACCTCGTCGTCGAAGTAAAGTCATATAAGATGGTATCGCCCTGCTGGACGGCCGCTTTCTAGCGTGAAAATCCTCCGCTCGGGGAGAGCCGAGATTCGAGACAATACGGATCGCCCTTCCTGTCCGGGGAGCAACCCGATACGTCGGTGTTGCGCGATACGTGGGCCCGCGGTGCCGATCGACGGAGTCGAGTTCCTTTGCCGAGATGGCTCGCTCGCGCGAGAGAGAAAAGGAGAGCGAGAGCGAGAGAGAGAGATAAGGACAGAGCCGGCCTTCTGGTGCTCTACGTCGTCACTCCCGGTTGCCTCCCGGCGACGTCGACGAACAGGGTTTACGCTACTGACTGTCGTGTTTCGCGGTAGTCGCGCGCGGAGGTCGGCGGTTCTCGATTAATCGGAACTGAAAAAAGAGAGAGAAATACGAGATTGCCAAGAATGCTACGAATCACATTCGCTGCGCGATGGCTACTGCCTGAACGCAGTCGCGAGCGCGGAGCGACGGAACGCCACGCCACGAGCGCCGCGAACGCGGCTCATTTCGACGTGTTCCATGTTCCATACTGCTGCGTATGTAATATGTTATATCGACAATCCTCGGTATTCGGTAATACGATCTCATTTTTCAATTGTTTACTTGAAAATTATATATAATATAATTAACAAGATATTATTTAAAAAAATAAATCATGGAGAAATTATCGGGACTATCAATGGAACTCCGGGAGCCGGAGATATTTGAAGACTATCGATATCGATTATCGATATAAAAGACCTCGCACTATTCTTATGGTAAAAAATTTTTCATATAAGAAATGTATAGAATGTGTATAAATAAATGTATAAAATATGTGTCCATATATGTTTCCTTTCTCTTGTATAATCTCTGTATACACTGGAAAAATAATAAGAAAACAATTATAAAAAAAAAAGATTAAGAAAATAGTTTTAGTAGTTTTTTTTTTAAATAAAGTTTGAGAAAATGAGACATAAAATGATCATATATGATTACATATAGAATATTGTATAATCTAATCGCAATTTTACTTTTTTTTAAAAGGACAATGCAAAAGTTATTTTTCTACTTAATTTTGTTCTTCCTATATACATATATAAATAGAGATTATACAAGAAAAAGAAAACGCGGTATATGGGTATATTTTATATAAAATTATATATCTATATATGTATACCTATACATTTATATTATATATTTATTTATAAAAACTTATATTTATAAAACTTATATACTTCTTAGTAACATCATCAAGTATCATCGTCTTTTATTTGTTGGTGTTAATAGTTCGGTGATAATAGTTATCATAAATAATATAATATAAGAATTGTTGTAGATAATGTTTATAACTTCTTTGAAATATTTTACCAAAGAAATTTTCATTACGTATAATAATTTTGCCAATGCAAATTGTTGTACATACATACATTAGGGATGAGTCCTCTCAACCTACTTTTATAAATATAAAAGAATTTATTCTAAAATGAAGATATTTCGTAAAACTTATCCGGCCCCCAGTCCAATGAATTCCTCGAGATGGAAAATGTCAGAATTAATCGATTTATGACTCAAAATGTGAATTTTTGCAGATACGGCATTTTTCTTTAGCAGGGCAGTATTACGTATATATGTATATGTATATGTAGTTATTGTATAATAAAAATAATACGTTTTCAAAATGCCTAAGTGTCTCTCGTTTATTTGTCATATATAATATATGCATGAAAATGCAAACAACTATTTTTGTTGTCTTAGCTGTTAAATAATAAAATAATTTAGAAATTAAATGGTTAAAACGCCGACATTTCTAGATCAAGTTTTTCGCTTCTGGCTTCTGGTCTGGTTCTCTGTCTCATTCTCGTCATATCTCATTAGTGACGGCATCCGGCATCATCGACGATCATTGATGCTCGTGTGCGCCCAGTGAATCGCTGAATTCTGCATGCAAAAGCTCACGCTTTTACCAAATTTGAAAATCATTGCTAGATAAAGATATTGTCCGTTTCTTAAATGATCGAAACGGATAAGCCCATGTCGTCATTATCGTCTCGCTTCTCCGGTTATCACGTGTAGTTGCGTTGAGTTTAACCTCAAATCGAAGAGCGATCCCGTGTCGCCCGTGTCTCCTCTCTCCGCCGAACGCGGCCGAAGCCGCAGGATAGATATAAAGAAAACGACTCGCGAATCTCAGTCGGGGAGAAATGAAGGGCGTGATGACTGTATTCAGAAGCATGCGGACCAACGAGTTCGCGATGGCGTTTCGCGCGTGTTACAGAAGGTATTGCACGACGAAGGGTTACACGACGACGCAGAAGGTGGTCCATCCATACAACCAAATTCACCCGTGGAAATCGGAGACCGAGTTTGCGAAAGATTTGCTGAAGAATGTGATTTACAATGAAGGTGGAGAAAAAATTGTTCTACGTCGATTAAATACTCGCATCTTCCAGCAAGATTAATAATTATTTTCGTTATCATAAGATTGATGAATTTATTAATTAATAATAATTATTGGTTCATTTTGTGAAATTTAGTAATCCTTGCTTTTTAATGTAATTGCTGCATTATTGACCGTTAAATAATGTTTATTATTTGCGATGATCATTAATATTACAACTTAAAAGAAATGTAAAGTCGCAGTTATTCCACTTGCGTAGATTATTTTAGCATAACAGTTTCCTTTTTTTGTCAAAGTTGATTTTTTCTTGATGTCCATACAAAAGTCATATTATTCAATAGATAATAAGAAATGTTGAATTTATTGGAAATAAATGTCTATATATTTAATTGTACTTAGCTGATAAAGTGATACATTTCAATATTAATCTGTGAATACTTTCTTACAGATGGAATAATTGCAATAAACAAACCATATGGCATATCTATGCTTAATAGCATGCCAAAAACAAACCGACGTCTGCAGTTAACTCACAAGATTGTAGGTGCAGTGAATTATTCTGTACAAGACACTTTGCCATACCTTGCGAAGGAATTAGATGTACCAATCTTAATACCGTGCTTGGGAGCAGAAAAGTACATAACCCTTTCACTTTCTTTTTTTCTTAAAAAAAAAAAAAAAACTTATTTTACTTACAAATTAACTATTTTTGTAGATATATGAGTGGCGTATATGTTTTTGGAATTAATGACAAAGTGTGTCGGCAGATAGAAATTGCGAGAAATCGAACTGCAGGCAAATATAAGAAATATTGGGCGGTCACGATCAGAGTTCCGAACGAGATCAAAGGAAAATATCATCTAGCGATGATTTTAAAAAAGTCTACGCTAGGAGACAAAAAGGTACATCTGTCTCCATGTATATGTTCTCTACGAAGTAATTTGATGTTCATTGAAATAACGATTACGTGTGCATTTCAGCCTGTTATCTTGACTCAGTGGAGTAACAACGAGGTGAAGAGAAATGACGTCAAGATATTAAATATAGATTATAAACTCTTATCCAATTCGACGCATAATTTGAGTTCCCTAATAGAAATCGAAGCATCCGCGAGAAAGTGGAATGCTGTCAGGTTATTCGCTTCCACGATGCTGTACAGTCCGATTCTCGGAGATAATGTTCACGGATCGCGCGCCCAAGAAATCATGGGTACATGGTTGAGAGTCGATCCATTCTCCGATTCCTGTTGGGATATGCCGAAGATGAATCGACAACTGCTAGATCTGCTAGATGTGACACCGAGTCAACAAGAAATTATTCCGACTCACGTACATCTGAAAAATGTGCGCTTAATTATAGGCAAAGAGAAAAAAGATTTAATAATAGATGCACCTTTGATGGATCCTTTCGATTGGACCTGCAAGCAGCTCAAGTTCAATATACCGGATGAAGCAAGGAATGCTGTTGCAGACGATGAAAAAGTGTTGGCTCACGTGTAATAAATATGGCGGTAATTAACTCACACATTTCTCAATAAGTATTGTAATTGTAATAAAAAGGATTTTAATTAAATTGATAATATTTATTTCTTAGCATATATTCTCATGCTTTCGATCAATCAGCTGGATAACATAACAATGACTAGTGAGATATCACATGTTTGCCTTTTAAGATTCTTCTCTGGAGAATTTTTCTACCATTTGGTGTTGACAATCTCGCAGACCATCCGTGCTTTTTTATACGTCTTCTTTCATTGGGATGAGGGAAATGATATCTCATTATGTTTCTGACAAATGTTAAACTCCATGGGCTCCATACCGCAGTCGTTGTCGCAGTCGCTGTCGACGAAAGTTGGCTTGTGGCCCGTCTGCAAACATGTTAACAAAATGTGATATTAATACGTAATATATCTATACTTTGTTACCTAAGATCTCATTGCCGTATTACGTCTTATGTCAATAATGTGAATAGCAGTTTTAAATTGAAGAAAATCAAATCTCTTGCTCTTCTTTAAATGTTGAAGGTTTCTAATCGCCAAACAAGATGTTAATCCTTATTAACACGTTCACCGGTTCATTACGGTCACCGGTGATCGTTGGCCACAATTAATGTACATATAATACGAAATTATATTTGTAGGACGATTATATTTAGTAATAATAGAAAGACATACGACACAAATTACAAATGAATATTTTTACTTAATATTATAATTAAGTAATACTTTTACTTAATATTGTAATTTAATTTCGTATTTCATCGCTTTTTTCTTACAAAATAATTCGGTATGAGTAGAAAGTTAGCTAAAATACGCTTGACGGCGAACGTATATTGAAAATTGATACGATTACAGGAAGTCATTTCGAAAAATGTTCTTAATTTTCGAGAATAAAGACAAAGTTTAATATTTACGGTAAAGATTGAAATACACCCGTGATCAATTTGCCAAACATGTTTTCACACCGCAAGTGTCTTAACACATTCGGATTATTCGGAAGTGGAAAATTTTAGGTTAAATCTCGCAAATCGCTCGACGATCACCGGCGAAAATCGTCGAACATCGAACGTTTCCGTAAACCGACAGTGTACTGTCGCGTGGCGCACTCTGGTAGCGAGAAGTTTTACAGTTTGGACTGCCGCCGGAGCCGGCCGGCCGGGCCGAGGCGAATATTGCGCGATTGACCAAATAATGGACCCGTTGCGAAATTCTGCATCATAAAGGTGTGTAAAATAAATTATCTATAATATGGTCGTCATGTTTTTACTTATAAAAACTGCAACGTGCAATTTTGTCGTTAATGCAATTTCGATAGACTTCTCACCTCGAATATTGACAGTATAAAAAGAGGAGCAAATGGCGGCAACCGATAAAATATCTCAATGGCTATCGCGATTTCCTTAATCGGAAATTGCAATTGTCGAACGTAATTGTCAAATTAATCTTTCAAATAAATCTTTCGAATGAGACATATCGAATTTGAATACGTTTCAGGCGCGTTAAAATATTTACTACGTCTCGACGGGATCTTATTGGATACCTGTCAAAACCTGGCTGGCTTCAATCGGTCTATTAGCGAGGACCGTGTTCACTGATTGACCCATTCTGGGGTTCACAATGCCTCACGGGCTGCCGAAGGGCGCAGCAGTATTAAAAGTACAGCCCTCGAGAATGCGACGGGGCAACGACATCGCCTCGGCCGTTCGATATACAACGTTTCTAAAGGTACAACGCGCGTTCGACAAATTTCTAGGCACACGGTTGAGCGAAGAATAACGTACTATACAGAAAGGAATGTCAAATCAAAACTTTATACATACTCGTATATACGCAACAATCTATAATCTTAAAAGAATTTCAATTTTTTTTTTTTCGTTGAACTATATAATATAAATGACTATACTTGGTTATTGACTATATAAATATATTCACTCAAGCAAGTTTTCTTCATTTAACGCAATATAATCTCATTTCCAAGATTGTAGATTGTTGCGTATATGTACGAGTATATATATAGAGGTCTTGATTTGGCACTTCTTCTTTTTCTGTATATTATTGCAATGGAATAACAAAATTACAAAATATTTGGATAAAACTATAATACGAGCGTCTTAGAGAAAGCGAATGGATTGGCTCTACCTTTTTTAATTTTAGAAGCATAGCGCGTGTTTATAACTTCATTGACTTTTTCTATTTTTTATTTGATAGAATTTCGGATTTGCGGTTTAGCTTCTGCTGTAAGGCTCATGCATGAGATACCGGCGGTTTTAATAGCCCCAAGTGAACTCGTTCGAATTTTACTGCCGCTTGAATCTGCTAAATCGCGAGAATGTTACAGTTTTACAAAAAAAATTGTCTTATCGAAGTGACATTAAAGTACATATCCGATAATCTTATTAACTGATTAAGCTTAAGGCAAAGTGAGCGAATAGTATTTGCGATCGTCTTGTCTACGCAGCGACATTATGTGAATTTCTTTTAAATAATCTAATTTTAACTTTATAAAAGTTTTAATCGAGATTGTAGAGTACTTGTATCGCAACTAGCGAATTTATTGTTAAGAGTACTTTTTGTGTAAATTACATTCTAGAAATCAAACAAATCTTCATCACCGATACTTAAATTTATCAGGTGCAACAGTTCGCGTGAAATTCTTCTTGTCCTCGATGCGACGCTGATCTCAAACGACGGACAACGACAGTCTAACACCTATTTTTTTCTTAACTTTCTGTATTGTTTGCAATACTTGGAGAAAAGCGCTCGTTTAGTTCACGTAGAAATGCCGCGACTAAGCCAGCAACAATGAGTCTCGATCATGCATTAAAACCACTCCCTCAGTTTCTCCGTGTCGCGTCCTCCGACCACTCTCCCCCGGAGAGATTCTTTTCTATCGTCAAATGCGCCCCGTGGTGCCGACCTACCCCATGGGAGGATTGATCTCGCCTCGATCTCGACGGTAATCGAACTGCCGTGACCCCGTTGACACGTCGTGTGTAGCAGACGAACGAACACGCGTGCATCCATGACGTCACCGTGTCTCATGGTGGTCGTCTGATCTTGAGCCCACGCGGGGCCTCTGCCCTCCCCGACGTGATTTCGATGCACTTCGGACGCGCGGTTACGTTACATCGCATCGCTCGGGATTTGGACAGAAACTTGGATCATCGACGTTAAGTTTTGTCGTTTACAACTTAAAAAAAATGAACGAAGAAAACGCGCGCGTATAGTTCGACAGGAAATACATAAACATATATTTTCTTTATCAGCATGGGAACATTTCAGGCATATCTTTTTAAAAGTTGCCGAGGAACATTTCCAATATTATATGGTTTTACATAAACGCCCGAAGGTATAACTTATCGCGTTTGTCTATTGACAAACTTCCTCCGTGCATCTTTTTACAAGTCTCGCAACCGTAGTTGCGCTAGTACGGGAGCACCGTCGTACGATTATCAGATATCGGTCGATTGTCGAGTAATGGTACCGTCCCTGTGCTACTCGTAATCAATTTAATGAGCGAGTTAATGCGATATCATCGGGGTTTGGTTACACGGGAAAGCGGTGCAATGCGCTTGCTCGTATATACGAAGGGCGCGCTTAGGCACTGTTAGAGACTGGACCTATCCCGTGGGTGGATAAACTTTTTATCTGCGCCCGTGATGGAATCGCTGTAACCCGTTTGCTATGTCACGTGGAACGTGCACGCGGCCGTTCCTCGAACGCGCGTATACGCATCGCCGAATATATATTATCACGTATGTCTCGTTACGACATCGATTAAACGCGACGCGGCTTAAAACAAAAGTAACTGGCTCTTCCATCGCAACTTTTCATCTTAATTAATATACAATATTTAAATATTTGTGAGGTTTCTGTTTACCGATTAAAAGATATTTACTAATAATTTCTCGATCTATATATGATTAAGGATAATTTAGTATTTTACATATAGATGTATTTTGATACTGTTAATTGCTATTTTATCTGGCAATAGAAGAATTGAGAAATATCGCTTGGTTACTTTTATTACAATTAGTAATCGAATTATCGCTAAGCTGATTAATGCGCGTTTTTATTAGAGTATTGAAAACGTCTCCAACAATACGCGAGAGCGCTGTGCGGAAAACACAAAAGAGAACCTCTTCCTCCTTTTTAATTATTTCTTTCTTTAATTATTCGTGCGCACAGATAGAGAATCCCGAGAAAAAGACAGCTATTATTAACGCGGAACAAAGAGCGTGGCTACGTCTCTTTAGGTTTTTATTAGGATTTACTTGGAACAGAGTGCATAATTCTCTTATACGAAATCGAAAAAAGACGAAATAACATATTTTTATATGTGGATGGCGTAAAATAGCAATATAATTTTTTTATATAACTTTTAATCAATCAGTATATAATAAGTTACAAATTTAATAATTTTTTCGCATGTGTGTTTCACAATCGAAAGTTAATTTTTTTCTTGGTAAAATATTCTCTAAAATATTATCGGCAAAAAACGGACCGGACACCGAGAAAAGTTCTCGGTATGCGATCGAGCACCCGGTATATTTTCAACTGTCAGTTGACAAGGTACAGGATGCGCCTTTTCCGTTGCAAGAGTTCTGAACCGGCACTCCCATCCTATAGAATTGCGCTCAATCGTCCATTGATTTAACATGAGCGTGTCATAGCGCGGCCAGACTTATTATCGATCGGTTTGCATAACTTTGTTTTATTATGCAGCGTGAAGTACAATCGTCCGTACTGCGCGTGAAACGTATTCAGTTGAGCGTTTAATAAATTCGACTGTAATTTCGGTTGTTTCGAATTTTAACACGGATTCGAGAAGGATATAACGTGGAAATATTTACGCTAGACCGCGTGCAAATTGCTGCTTTTTCTCAACTGCGAATCGATCGAATCTGGAAATGGCCGGGATGCGGCCCTTGACCGTGACACATGCATCTCTCAACGACGATTTACTTGTCAAATAATTCTTCGTACGACCGCGGGGCTCGCGATTACCGCCAGAGCACACGCAGTAACTTATGTGCATGCTTACGTTACGTCGTCGATATTTCATTGCGCTCGCAGTCGGGTGATAAAAACGTGCGGTACCGAAAAATATTGCCGAGCTGTGAGCGTGGCCGCTTTGTGGTCCGACTAAGTCCGGGAAAGGATCTTAATAAGGAGGGTCCACATTATCGAGCCAAACCGCGAACCGAGTTCCGAACCGAATCTCGAGCAGAACTTGCAGACGAACCTCAAATCGAACTCCATCGCGAACCGCGAACATGAGTTAAAATTTTTTGAAGTCAAATCTTGTATTGAAATTTATAATAAAATTTATATAAATTTTTAATACATGTATGCAAAATGCATATTTATATTTACAATCGTATTTTTTAACATTGCAATATATATATTATAAATTTATTGCGTATTTATCACAGGTTTAGAGTATGTTTATGCAATATTAATTCTAAATTTTGTTTTATGGTTTGAAAAGGAATTAAGTTTTGAATACAGGAAAATAATAAAAGCACATATACATATATTCACTCACCTTTTCCTGTTTCCATACTTTTTTTATTTTTGCTTTTTCTCTTTGCAGAGATGCCAATAATGTCGTCATCTTTTTTTTGCACATGTCACTATCACATTCGAGTTCTTTACTTATTTCTTCTTATAAAAAAAGTATGAGAACAGGAAAAGACGACTAAATATGTGTATACATATGCGTGTTTTTATTATTTTCTTGTATTCAAAGCTTAATTCCTTTTCAAACCATAAAACTATATTTAGAGTGGTACCAACTATATTTAATATTGCATAAACATACTCTAAATCTATGATAAATACGCAATAAATTTATAATATATATTGCAACGTTAAAAATACGATTGTAAATATAAATATGCATTTTTTTAATTGTTATAATATTTGGGATTTTTAGCGTCCCGTATATAATAATCTTTTCTGCTCATAATCACTAATTAATTTTAAACATTTTTTATCAGACCATTCCATTTTGTCTA